ACCCAGTCAACAGGGTTCTCACGCTGGGGTGTGGCCCCAGAGGGCTGGGCCTATGGCCTTGCAGGGCTGAGATGGAGGAGATAGGGCAGTGCTGTGACACTAGGCTTTTCCCTTTCAGGAAGCCGAGGTCCCCAGATTCTCTCTGGTGCTTTCTCTCTCCTCCCTCCCCCCACCCCCATCTCATCTACTCTCATCAGCTTGTCCATGCTGGCATCCCATGGACCTTCGACAATACCACCCCCAAGATTCTCTTCACTGTCTGGAGTGTCAGGAATCTGTAATTTAGCCCTCAATCCACTGCAATATTCCCTCCCAGCTGACAGCCATCCCCACGTGATGCCCACCCTCTCCCTCCAACTCCACCAGGGAGCCCTGCCAGCCCCTCCACTCAATGGGCCCCCAATCAAATGCCTGTCATGGGGAAAACATCTCACTAAGTCACTCTGTAAGCACCTACTGAGCGTGTATGAGGTGCCAAGCACAGTCTGTCTGCTCCACGCCTCCTGGAGAAAGGTGGGCCTTGGAGGACCAGCCCATTGCTGGGGCCAGCCCTGCAGGAATCCCAGCCCAGCCTCGCACACTCATCCCTGACCTGGAAGCAGACCATGTGATTGGAACCCAGACCCCACCCTCAGGACAGCAGCCCCTTGGCATCAGGGAAGGCCTGTGAGCAGGTACTAGGAGGCCACATTGAGCCACCCCCGGCACTGTCTCACCTTCACTCTCTCATTTTGCCAAACATGGAGCATCCACAAGTTCCTCCCATCACAGGAAGGGTGGCAAAGTGCCCCCAAAGAGGAGGAAAGGGGAACTCAAAAGCTGCATGCATAGTGGAGCTGGTTATCAGCCAGAGGACTGGAGACCGTGTCTTATGGCCCCTGTGCCTCCCTCCCTCTTTCCCCCAAATTCTGGTGTCCCCACCACTGCCCACCCCAGATTCTACACCAGGACAGCCCTGACCACCCTCCCCCCAGCAGTAGGAACCTCTTCTCTGACAATACCCTGGGCCTAGAAGCTGAAAGGAAACTGATAATGAAAACCACCAGACCCTGCTCCCCAGCTGAGGAGCAGCTGCCAGCAGCTGGGAACCAGAGACAAGCCTGTGACCTCAGTTTCCCCAGTTTCTGGCCCCATGGGGAAGAAAGAGCCTCTCCCTTGTCCCAGATAGAAGCTTAGCAGCAAAAGGTGGCCCAGAAGGTCAGAAGAGGCTCAAGCTAGGATTGGCCACAGGGGGAGGGGGAGGGGCCTCCAGAGACAGGCCTGCCCCCTCCCCTCACAGCTCACCCCCGCAGAGAGGAGGCAGCCCAAAGGCCCAGCAGGCCACAGACTCCGCCTGCGGCGAAGTCACAAAGAGGACACAGACCGGAGCAGAACACACATGCACACGCAGGGAGACAAGAGCAGAGGTGCAGACCCGCACCTGCTCAGGAACACAGAATGCACACGTAGGCACGCCCACCCCGCCAGGCATACACCTCACACACTGTCACACAGACATGCACACCTGCACACACAGTCCCGGACCCCACACACGTTCACAATCATCACAGAGGCACATGCAAACGGAAACACATGACACAGAGATACACATTCAACCAGTCGCAGAGTCACACTCACACTGCTCCACCTCCCACCTCTGGATCGCCTAGAAGATTGAACCCAAGGGAGAGTGAGGAAAAGCTTGGTGTCAGATGCCCCAGCCAGAATCCTCCATCTCCATCCAGCCCAGGCATCTGAAAGTGCCCCCCTCACGAACCGGGTCTCACCAACCGGGTCTCAGTCACAGTGTGACAGCCCTCTGCACGGGCAGCCCCACGCTCAACAAGGCTTCACTTCATGGCCAGGTTTGCTCCCACCCCTCCACCTGCCCTCCCACCTGTTACCCACCATCCGAAGCCCCCAAAGGAGACGCTGCGCTTCCTGCCAAACATGGTTGTGGCCGCGGGGCCCCGGGTCCAGCGATGTCCCTGCAGCCCTGTTGCACCGGGGTCCACAGCCACGGACGCAGGGCGGGGCGCCCAGCATGGCACCTCCCCCCTCGCCTGCCCCCAAACCCGGCTTCCTGTGGGTGAGGCCTCAGGGTGGGAGGTGTGTCCTGCCCCCAAGGACGCACCAAGAGAGGTCGCAGAGGGCAGTTTCCCCACGCCCAGAGGAACCCACAGATCCGGAAGGGGCTCGGCCGGCGTATTGCACCACAGCCCAAGCTGGCAACTCAGCCCCACACAGCCAGGGCTTCCCGGAACCCCAGGAGGACAGAGGATTCCCACGATCGTGCCTGGGAGGGGAACAGAGACCTGACTGGAAGGCTCAGGCAGCGCTGCAGACTGGCGTCCCACACCGACTCCCTGGGTGCTGCCAGCAGTGGGACCTTGGCTCTCTGCTCCACTGTGGCTTTCTCCTGCCCCACCCCTGTGATTACACCTGCACACACTAGTACACAAGCATACATGCACCCATGTGGGCACAAGGGCACAC